TAAAATTTTTATAGCAAGCAGCAGGTTAAATGTAATGTATTATATGATAAAAAGAGGTATGATCTTTATAACCGAAATCATGTTAAGATTATATGGATGAGATGAGTTAAATAAGGTTTGACACCTCTAAATATTTAAAATTTTGATTCTATAAGTATATATGAAAATAATGAATGATGGATTGTGCACACAATTTTTTCATTGGGATTCTAAAATAAATATATAGGAACGCACGGTTGAATTTAATCTTATTATATACCAAAATATGTTTATTATATACGCAATTGTTTTTTTACTTACTACTAGCATATATCAAATACATACGTTTTATTTTAACCAAAAAAACGTAAAAAACCGTAAAAATCGAACTGTAACTAAACCGAATTACATACGGTTTCTATATGGTTTCATTTTCTACAAAACTAAAAAAACGATACTAAACCGAAAAATTGTACCCCACCCCTAATATTTTCTCATCAAACAAAATAAAATAAAATAAAAAATCCTTATATGTCATTGTATTATGTAAAGAATTATTAAAATTGTACTATAAAACAAACAATAATCCAACTTTATATAAATATTTAAAAATTAAAATTTTATCTGTGCTGTTCCAGCACGGGTTATGATCTAGTTATATTAAGATGGTTGATATGTTATGTGTTTTTTTCATATAGTACATTATTTAGTATATACGTATGTGATGAGTATCTGTTTTCATTTCCCTTTTCAAGAGAATGTCTAAGCTGTTACCCACAGTTAAGCAATAATTAAAACATTTCCAACAAAAAATATTCATTCCACTTATAAGAATATTTTTGTTTTGTCCGTTAGGTTTTGTTGGTTTCCTCACTGGTTTTATTCTTTGACATCCAATCACTCCGCTGAGAACCCACACTTGATATCATAATATCTTTTTTTACAGAATATTATGTACATTAAGATCATACAATATCTGTTTTATACTAGTAACTTTTTATTCCTGATTTGATTTATTTTATGCGAGTTTTATTTTATTTAAAGACTTTCAAGAAAATTAAATTCGATTAAATTTATTTCTACTATTGTGTTCCACAAGATTACACGATCAAAGTAGATTTCGAGGAATAGGATTAAACGAACCAATTACAAACTCGAATTTTGATGTTGGAGAGGTGATTGATTTTACCTGTTATAGTTCCTAGCCGGATAAGTTTTTGAGTCAAAAGCGCTTAATCTTTTGGTAATATAGAAAAATCGTTACTAAGGGTTTGGAAACTATTTTTTTTATTAAATTAAAATAGTTATATTGTGATACAAAGAGAAAACAGACCGAAATCCAAATCGGTAATAGAGAAAAACTGAATCCAGCCTTATTTTTTTTTTTTTTACAAAAACTAAAATGCATACTATTGATGAATTTCCCCCCCAAAACAATGCAAACCGATCTATTAGATTTGATTCCGAAAATAGTAAAAAATATTCTGCTATATAACATTAACTAAAGTAAATACAAGTGTGGAATAACACCAATATCAATAACCATTGGAAGTTTTCATACATTGTACGATGAAATTCAAACAAGCAGAGCATTCGACAAAAGAGTATTTTTCAATGAAGAAGGATGTGTGTGATACTGTGATTGGTCAAAGGTGGTCCTGCTCCAGACAAAGAGACATGCCACGTGTCACATCTCTTTCAGATTATTGGATCGTTGACTATCCTGTTGCAAGATTTGTCTGGTTTTGTTTATAAGAAGCTCACGATCCAATGCATTTGACAATGCTCCTGTTTTTCAAACAAACACAACAAAAAGACCTATTAGTCAAATTCCTCAAGAAACAGGTTTTAAGAGGGAGTTTAAGAGGGACCACGTTTCGACCCGACCCGATACGAGACCCGGTCATGAAAGCCTGAATTAAGGAAAAGAACGGGCTCTTTCTTATAAATGGGCTGAATATGGGCCTTAATGACGTCACCATAGATTTGTGTTTGAACACGTTGTCGCACACGTGCCATTGAACTACATCCTCTAGGCTTTCCACGTGTCTTCGCCATGCACATATCTCTTTTCTTCCTTTCTCACGAAAGAGTTTGACTAAAACGAATTCCAAACACTTCAACAGCTTTTGATCAAGCGAACAGAGAATGGCGACTGTCTTGCGGTTTTTAGGGCGTAGAATCTGCAATCCAGCGGCGGAGAAAGTACGTTTGAGCAGTAGCTTAAGCGAGGGAGGTGATTTTCCGGTCTTAAAAGGCCAGAAAGCGGCTCAAGACTTATCCAAAGATACTCTAAAGTACCATGAAATAACAAAAGAGAAAGAAGGTATGAATAAATCAAAATATAATTTGAATTAACTACTTCTTTAAAGAAGCAGTGAGTTTATCGAATTATATCCGTTGATTTCCAACAGGCCAACACAAAGAAGCTAAGAAGGAGTTCAAGATTTACAGATGGAATCCTGACAAACCTAACTCTAAACCATTTCTTCAATCTTTCTTCGTTGATCTTTCCTCTTGTGGTCCCATGGTAATTAATTAACGAAAAATTGCTTATTAAGTTCCATAGGAT